AAAAAGAAAAGCAAAACTCTATTGTTTGAAGTAAACAGTAACAAAAAAATATTGAAGGTAGAAAAAGAAAAGATTAATTAAATAACTTTTAGATAATTTATATATGAAATTTAAATTTCTGTAATTAAAGCCAGTCAATTTTCCTTAGGAGACTTAATGGATCAAGTCTGATCACTCGCTAAAATAGTACAGCCCGATAAATGTGAAAACCCCCAAATAACTGGAATTATCGTGTTATGACTTTTTAATGAGTGATCAGACTTGATCTATCCTATAGAAAAAAGGTACACTTATCGAGGGATTTCGAATGATATAGGATTTATTTAAATTAGATTAGGAATCAAAAAGTTAAAGCCGCTCAAATTTGGTTGGCACTCAGTTTGTGGGCGTATAACCGATAAGTACCATGGATTATAAATAGGTATTCAGTCAAATCGATGTCAAAAATATATAATTTAAGCCTTCTTTATGGAAAAAAATTCAACTCTAAAATATTACTGACTGGTTTAAAAAAGCCATGCCTTTTATTTATTGAAAGACAAAAGAATATTAAAGCCGCCCACTTATTTAAAAGCTAATTAGCCTTACCTTAAATAGAAAATTTATGATAAAATAAGGATTAGAGGTCATGGTTTAATAGCTAGTGTGAGAGTTTAATATGCAAAAAATAATAATTAAAAATAAATCCCTTTTTAGTTATTCGCGCGTGTAAATTTATTAAATCTGTGGGAAAAATGTGCTAGTTTTTTAAATATTGTGAGGGAAAGGAGATTGAAAAAATAATAGATTTTTAAATTATTTTAGACCTTTCAGTAAATTAATATAGCAAAAACTCTACTTAATTAATTATCCATTTACGTTATAAAAAGATTAAAACTATAATTGAAAGAGTAGGCGGAGGGTTTTAAATTGGTTTTAAGTGTTAAGATGGTTTTTTGGCAAAAAATATGAATTTAAATTGACGGAACTAAACATTGTAGATTAAGCATATCCGGTAATAATTTTAATTAAAAAAATTTTTTAATGAATAAAATTTTATTTAATTTTTAAAATTATTTAAAAACGTCATTTTAATTTTTAAACAATACCAAAAAATTAAAAAGCAAAGTCTGCTCTTGTTTTAAAATTCTTTGCCGTATAACAATAAAAATAAAATTGAAAGAAAGACAACAATTTATTCTAAAATATTTTTCAAACTTCTCACAGTCTATTGTTAACTTATCGTCATTTAAAAATAAAATCTTACAAAAAAAATAATTTTTTAAATTTAATTTAACGTTTATTTCTATGAAAGAAAAAAACAAGATTTATAAAAAAATGGCTTTAAAGCAAATAAATTTTGTACTTTTGTAGTAGTATTAATGACATAAAAAGTTATTCCAATTAAAAAATATTAATGATATACTTGCCCAAATATTTAAGCGCAAAATGTTAAAGTATCTAGTAATTTAATGTTCTATGAATTTTCAAAGTAAACATAAAAATTAAACAATTTGAAAAAAACTTTTATTATTAAACAAGTTATTTATTGCATTAAAGAAAAGTTAAACAAACTAATTAAATTATTATAGAAAAAATATAATTTATTTTTAAAGAAAACAAAACAATTTACCTCAAACTTTTAATTAAATTAATGAAAAGGAAAGTACAATTTTGTGTTCTTTGGATCGCTTAAATATATAGGGAATTTAAAAAATATTTGGCAACGAAAACTTTAAAACAATAATTACAGTCAACATTATTGTAAAAATTGGGCAAATGAATCCGACTGTAATCAAAATTTTCACAGACATAGAACAGATAAATGTTAAAATATTTCTATAAAAAATGTGTAGAAAAAATTAACGTATTTTTCCAAATACAGCCCCATGGGGCTGTATTTTTCAACTAACCTCCAGACTGGGGCTGTATTAGAGAATGGAGCTTTATTTGGAAAAATACGTTTATTTATTAATTTCTAAATAAAATTAAATTAAGGGAAATGTATTAATAGTTAACTCAAAATGCTCAAGACAAACCAAATAATATTACTAAATTTCGCATAAATGTTGGACAAATTTAAAAAAATATTAAATAAAACGTTCTAAAATAAAAGTTATCTCATTCAAAATAGCAAAAATAATTATAAAATTATTCTCAAGGGTTTCACATATATTTCTAATTAACTCATTGTCTTTTCTGGTTCAGGTGCATCTTTATGCCATGTACCTCGATTATTTTGTTGATGTTGTCGAGCAGTCTCTTCCAAAACTTTTTGTGACCAATTAACATCAAAAGGGTCTGCAACAGAAATTTGTTTGTCTGAAAAAGACCCATCCCCAACTCCTTTAAACAAGGAATATTCACTTCTTGGTGGGCTTAAAGAGAAATCAGTTTCCTGTAGCAATTGATATTCAATTCGACGACCAGACGAAGCTTTACGCGAATGTGTTTTATTTCCACTTATAGACTCATCACGAAGAATTTTGGAATTTTTCTTTTCATTCAAAGGCGATAAGGATTTAGGAGGCGTTGTTTTTTTACTATTTGCTGAAAAAATTGGAATTGGTAGGGTTTCAGCAGTCGGCTCTTGACGCATTGTTTGTGACCAGGAAGGGTTTCTGACTGAAAATTAAATTTTATTTATTACGTATTATTTAGAATAATAGTAATTTCAAAAATATAGCTAAATATTTATTTAAAAATTACCAAAAGGTGGCAAAGGAGGCAAAGGCTGTAATGGTGGAAGACTTGAATTGTTTGCCAAATTTATTTCATGCCCAGGATTAGCTAGGAAATTCTCCCCTTTAGAAGTCTGCTGCTGAGGAAATTGAGTCCAACTTTGACGAAGTTGTTGAATATCATTAGCTGGTTTAACTTGATTAGACAACCAATCAATTGTTGTTGAACGGGGTAAAATCATTGAAGGAGGAAGATTGTCACAAGCAAAAGATGATGAACGAGAAATTGTTGCTGCTCGGCGAAAATGTTGTTCTAACCAGTCCTCAGCTTTTAAGGGTGGTGGAGATTCCTGTTGTTGTTCAATACTGGTTGTAGTAAAAGGATCAGCTGGCGGGGAACCGCTAAAATTAAATATATAAAAGATAAAAATATAGAAAGATTAATGAGATTGGGTAGAAGGAAGATTTTTAGTCAAATTCTCGTGAAAATACCCAAAAATGTTAGAAAAATGTTTAGGAGAGAAATTACTATAGAATTATTAAATTTAGTTACAAAAATTTAACAAAAACTTCAAAGGCACAGTTGACCGAAACTGTTAATTTTACCAAAAAGTTTTCTAAAAATAATTAAATTTACCTGTTTCCACTCCCTCGTTGTTCCTCCTCAAAATTCCTGTAAGATTTCGACTGCATTGGAACGTTTGATTGTTGTAGAAGTGATTGATTTTGTTGTTTATTCTCCTCGTAGATGGTAGGCGGTGGAATCATGCTGTTAATTAGAGGAGGAGGCCAATTGTTTACACCACCTAAAAATATTCATTTTTAATTTAAATGTTATTGTATTTTCTAAAGAAAAATTAATTTAAAGAAAGCCTTAATTTTATATAAATAAAAATAGCAAGAAAATAAAAATCACAAATTATAAAATAAAAAAAAATTAAAAAGGCCAAAATGAATGGATTTATCATAATTTTTTAAAAAATTATGATAAAACTGCAAAAATGGTTTAGCATTTAAAAATGATTAATATAGTATAACGACAGTTTGCAAACAAAAAAAACTCTCTAAAGTGGGTACTGATAAATAAATTTAATAAATATTCAAAATAGTAATTCTGTTGTTTCGTTTTTTGGTTAAATAAATTTTGTAAAAATGTAATTCTATTGGGGAAAAAGTAAAAAATGACAAAAAAATTAAATTGTTGAAAGATGATATAAAAATTGTCAAAAACTAGGGTTAAAAGAAGATAAAAAATATTAATTTAAAAAATTTTAAACGGAAAAAAAAATAAATTAGTTTTCAATTTTTTTGCTATTATTTTAATATCGAAATAAATTTCTAATCAAAATTTATTTATATGAAACACCGAAGAATGAGTTTATTTTCGATTTTTCTCATTTGGAGATGAAAAAATGGGGTGGGGGAGGGGAGATTTTTTGAACTATATGGCAAAGGTCAAAATTTCATAGGTTTTTTGATCGAGGTGGGTCTGGACCAAGGCCTGGGCTTTTCCTGTACCCAGAGTCAAGGCCCAGGCATTTTTTGATCTTCCTAGGTTTTTCATGAACTAAAGGCCTAGGATCCGGCCCAAGTCAATAGATCAAACCCGGAACCCGGGAACAGGTCCAGGCTTTTCAAAAATCTCGATCACTAATAGGTAAGGAGGCAAAAATTTGTGAAAGCGTGTATTCCGCTCCTTCCATAATTAACGCCCCAATTAAATCGAAAAAGTTCCAAAATTAATTTAACTACCTTCAACAAAGTTCGGCATAGAATAAGGCATGGTTCTATAAAAACGGCTATTCCAGTTGGATAGAGAAGCATTATCAAATGAATTTTGTTCATTCCCCTGATCATCATCTCCCTCCCAAATTGGTTCATTATACAAAGACTTTCTTGTTATAAAACGGGTTGTTGAAGGCCTACTGTTGTGTTGTAATGTATTAAAAGATTTGTTGACAGAAACTGGTGGGGCATTAAATGCAGGAAATGAAGAAGTTGAAAAAGAAGGGCGAAGAGAACGCTAAAAATATTTAAATCTGTTTATTGCACGTGAAAAAGTAGGAGAATTCATGTGGATTTAATACTAGAGGTCGGCAAAATCGCACATCCGAAATCACGAGTCGGGATTTTTTTCTTAACCGATGCCCGAGGGATAAATCCCGAAAAAATCCAGGATCCCGAAAATCAAAAAATCCTAGATTTCGGGATTCCGGAAAATCCCGTCCTGCGCCGACCTCTAGTTAGTACTAAAGTAACCGGAAGGTCTAGTCATTTAAGTCATTTTTTCTGAAAAATTCTAAATAAATTTTCATTACTTTTAATTTTATAAAACCCCCTTTAAAAATTTGTAAAAAAAATAACCGATCGTTCAAAAAGCGAAGGATTCCCTGAAGGTCTAGGTGTTGCTGTAAATCCTCCAATTGGAGAAGACAAACTATTACTTGTTGACACATCGGAAGATGAATTACTTGGCTTTATCTTTTCTTGTTCAACGAGAATTGCTTTTTGGGGATCCAAACGACGTTCAGAAATACTTAAATGCCGAAAAGAACGATATCCTTGATTTGTTCTTAAATTTATAGAAATTTAAATAATTTTTACCAAAAAATGCCTCAAACCTAGCCAAAGACGATTGATCAGTTTGATCAAAAAATTTGAAATTATTTGGAGATTTTTGATTTGTAGGGCTATTTAATGAATTTTTTAATGCTTGGGCATCCTTAAAAGCCTCAGATTCAGCATCTCTTTTTCGTTTTCTTTCCAAACAAACAGTAAAAGCACATCCAACTGCATGACTAAGACGCTCTCCCTTTAATAAATTTTAAATAAAAATGTTTTTCTAATCAATAGAAAAAAGGCAAAATCAATGGGGCAAAAATAATTTTAAGAAATAACCAAAGTTTTTCATAAGAATGGTTAAATAAATATTAGTTTGATCGTTTAATAAAATATTATTAAAAACTATCGCAAACTTAAATTGTGAAATCCCCACATAATAATTAATAAAAAGGCAATTTATCAATATTGAACCGGAGACCCTTTTTCCTTCACATTTTCCCCTTTATTTTTTTGCAAAATGGTCAGGCTTTTTACTTTTTTCTATCCAAATTGCCTTTTTAAGAAGACTCATTTTCTCAATTTTTGGCATAGACTTTCACTTGTATAAAATTAAATTTGATTGTAGGCAAAAATTAAAAAGGCAATTTGGATGGAAAAAAGGGAAAAGTCTGACCATTTTGTAAAAATATAGGGGAAAAATGGGGAGGAAAAAGGGGGTCTGTCCGGTTCAATATTAACATATTATTTTTTAAATACCGATTCTTTAGTTGCATGAAATCCATGACAAATCCAACGCCTTGTTGCCCCATCCCGACATATATAAGCAAACCCTTTATCATTATGACGATCGGGAGAACAAAACTAAAATTAAAAGGAATACACCTTTTCATCAATTAAAAACAAACCGAAACTTTTTCTATAGTTTGATCAACAATTAACCCTCTATTATTTGTTTGATCAACAACTCTAATTCCATCTCCAGACACATAAAGTAGTGCTTTGACCGGTCTTTTACGGTTCTATAAAAGTGAAAATTAATTAAGTTTATAAGGCAAAATTATGCATGTTTTAAAATTTAAAAATTGAAATTTTTAAGATGACATTTGGTCCCAGAAAAAATATTTTTCCAAAAAAAACCCAAAATTATATCCAACCATAATCTAGCGCATGATTATATTCGTTATCATTTTTTGAAAATTTTTTTAAAAACAAACTCTAAGATGCTGCAAAGCACTCTCACACACAAGCATGCCTCGTGATTCAAACACTTCACAAGAGCCCAAATACTGTTTTTAAATAATTTAAAAAATAATTTCAAAAATTTCAAATAACCTTGACTGGAAAAGAACAAGCTGCAGAACGTACTGCAACTTCATCTGAATGACAATAACTTTTATTTGACGTTCCACCAACTCCGCTAGTTCCATTTCCACTTGGTTGGGGATTTGTTGAAGAGGATGGGTGCCCTTCTGTTGCTGAGCTTGTTAGGGCTTGCCCGGCTTGTCCACCACCTCTTCGGAATGAACGACGAATTGAACGCCGTAGCCTGTCCATACTTCGGCTAAGAAAAGGCCTAGAAAACAAAAAAATCTCAGGAAAATTTTGGAATTCTTTTAAAATAAACAAAAATAACAATGAGACAAAGCCAAACCAACCTATTGTTAAATTTATTATTCAATCAAAGAAAATTGGAAATGCTAATTTTAGCTTGTACTCTATTGTCAAATGTCTGGGATGAAATCTCATTTTTAAAGCATTTCGACATTTTTAAAAAAATTTTTAAAAATTCGGTTTTTGTAAAAAGTCCTACAGTATAAATCTTTTGCAGATTTAATAGCCCCATAACTTGTAATAAATTTATAAGAGTTTTATTTACTTTTTTGTTCTCGCTTCCTCCCTTTCGAGATGTGTTAATCCAACCAAATTTCTGTCATTATTTGAAGGCCATTCAAGTTGGGCATTCTGAGATACTCCCCTGCCTCTTCTACTATTGTCTTGTATCATTTCATTGTGTTGTTGCCTTCCTTCGGCCGCCGACTTTCGTTTTTGTCGTTTACGGCGTCCTGATATTCTTGACCAACTTCGGGCAACAAACCCTTCATTGCGAGGAGGAGAAGAAGGACCTGCAGATGTGTTTGAGAGATGTTGTTGTTCTTTGAGAATTTCGTCGTAATCTGTTGCCTTTCCTATAAAAATTCCAGATATTTATAAATTAAAAGTTCTATGTGTTACTTAAATATAAGCATATTAATCCTTTCAATTATTTTAAAACAGGGCTTCGATTCGTACTTATTTTGGAAGTACAGTACTTATAAATCGACCTTCGTACTTAAGAAATTGAAAATGTATTTATTTATATAGACTTTAGACTTTTTGGTTGAAAAAGTAAATTTAACCTTAAAATACTCAAAATTTTCGTTTGGACAGCGCTAAAAAAATTTTTTTGTGACGGCTTATGTATCTGGGAAAAATTTTTTTCGCTATGTACTTATAAATTAAACTTTTAGTACTTCAACATAACATTTTCTCGATCGAAGCCCTGTTTTAAAATATTTTATTTACTCACTTCCTTTTTTACCCATTTCAAGTTTCTCTGTTGTTTTATACTTTTTGATGTTTTCTTTATTATTCCTTATTTTGTTCGGCCGCTGACTGGGCAATAACATGCATTTATAAGGAAATTATTTTTACTAAAAAATTAATTAATGAATCGTTTTATTTTAAATGAAAGTCAATATTATTTAACTTTAGAATGATTAATTGAGGAAAATTAATTAATAAATAAAGAGCAATAAAATTATACAAAAATTTAATTAAGAAAAAACTGAAACAAATAATGATAGAAATTAATTTTTTGAATTTTTTGTTCTAATATTTAATTGACAGGAATGGGTAAAAATTTAGAGAATTTTCGGTTTATTTTACAATTTTATTGGTCGAAATAAGATAATAAAAAACTAAATAATGCCTAAAACAAAGATAAAAATTTTGGACAATAAAAGTTTTGTTTAAAATAGCGCCATCAAAGATAAGCAAAAAAGCAACGTGTGTTTAATTTTGTCTATTTAGGAGAAGGTACGACTGGCGCCAGTCAGCCGACCGTTTCAAAGAGACAGGAAATAATTTCTTTTGTTTGTCTTTCCATTTATTTAGTAATTATTATTTTATATACTAAAAGGAATATTTTTGTTAAATTAATAATTTTTTAAGTTATTAAAGATAACTCTATTTCGAGTTATTTTTCAATCAATTAATAAAATATGAGGATATTTTCCATTTAAGGGGAGAAATCTGGCAATTATATATGTAATTGAGAGGAAGGTTTTAAAGTAAGTTTTTTAACACTAAAAATTGAAAAAGGTGGTCGAATAAAAAAGATTAACCGAGACGGGATTTTAAAGCGAGGAGATTGCTGCACAAATAGAAAGTAGAAAATTGGTTGATGGAAAGGTGGCCTATGAAATTATATACAATGGGAACCATTTACTTGAGGGAAAGACGAAAAACCGCGACGAATGGAAAGTAAAGAGAAATTACGTGCGCGCGAGCACTCTTTCAACAAGAAAAGAATTTATAAATATTTTATTTATCGAGAATGTTTTTTTCTGATTAACACACGGCTATTTAATTGTTTTAGTTTAGAGTTATTTTTGGATAAATTATAAAGTAAAAAATTATTTTTAATTGAAAAATTATTAAAACATATTAATCTTACATTAAATAAAATTTTTATTAATTATTTTGGAGGTCATGATTGGAATAAATACGAGGCAAAAAATATTCAATATATTAGAGGATTCCATTAAAATTTTTTATTTTACATTGTTATATACATATTTATATATTGATTTGTGCGAAATTTTTTAATCCGATTAGAAGGCTGCGAATTAATGAAAAGTTTATTTAGCGTAAAAATACAGTGCAGAATTTGTAATCAAAATTATATTAATTTTTACAAAATTATTTTTACAATTATAAATGATGTATATTTAATATAGGTTAAAAAAAGTCCTTTTTAAATTTATTTTTTTATTATAAAACTCGTGAAAAATCAGGAAAACCTAAAACAGCAGCAGTTGGACTTCCAGCTTCCTGTCGCAGTAAATCAGGTCTACAAGATTCTAATTTACTCATTCTTTCCAAATGTGGTTCTACAACTGTCCATATTTTATTTGACCGAACTAAGGAAATAACTGATTGAATTTCTGGTTGCATATACCGATCATCATTTAATGGTCTATAAAAATATTAAAAAGTTGGGAAATAATATTGAGTAAATAATTAATGTACTACTATTTAGATAGTCAACTAATTTAATATTAAACAGCTAATTTATTAATCATCTAATAGACATTAAAAAGCATACGGTGCAACACTCCGAACCAACTCATAAACTTTTTGAAGAGTTTCTGTACTCTTTAAAGGTTTTAGAAATTCAATGCCCTGAAAATGAAAATATACATATTTCTTATTAAAAATTTTTTGCGAGCCTGGCAAGCAGCCAATAGTTCCATAGCCAAAACTTTAAATAACAAATGGAAATACTTTTAAAACTAAATATTATTTACATACCCGCCTCTGTATGTTCAACAACTTTTAATGCTTTTCTAGCAGAGAAACCTCCCATAGATACATGATCTTCTTGGTTACAACTAGTTGGAATAGAATCAGCAGAAGATGGATGGCAAAGAACTTTATTTTCAGAAACTAATGATGCAGCACAAAGTTGGACTGTCATAAAACCAGAATTAAGACCTCCATTTTGGGTGAGAAATGTTGGAAGGCCGCTAAGTTCGTGGTTAACCTTTTTGTGAAATAAAAGATTATATTATTTCTTAATTTTAATTAACGAGTCTCTCTAATCTTCTTTCACTCATTTGTGCCAATTCGTGAACAGCAATTGCTAAATAATCGAGTGCCTTTTAAAAATAATATTTCTTTCTACATAAATATATTTAGTTATTAGAAATTACCTTTGCCGGATATTCGCCATGAAAATTTCCTTAAAATAATTTTATGAAATTCAGTTACAATTTTTTCACAAAATTCCAATAAAAATCCAACCTCCAGAAATAATTTCCTCAACATCAGAAAAGATTAAAGGATTATCAGTTGCTGAATTAATTTCTATATTTAATAATTCTTTAACAAATTCAATTGTATCATGAGTAACTCCATGAACTTGCGGAACACATCTAAGAGTGTAGGCATCCTGGACTTTACCACAATGCCGATGAGATTCTTTTAAAGAATTTTTTAAATTTTGCATTTAATTAATTACCAGCAATTTCCGATCTATTTAAGTCAGAATGAAGTAAAGCTCGTAATCTTCCTGCAACAAGGTTTTGACCTTTGTGAGGCCTAACTTTATGGACTTCTATAAAAATATTTATAAAAATATTTATTTATTGACTAACTAGCATCAAAAGCTCTAGTTGTCCCTTTAAGTACATCTAAAGTCAATGCAGCGATTACATCCGCTTGTTTAGCTAAGTTCTCTGCACGAACAACAGCTATAAATTTGTAATTTAATTATCAAATTTGGTTTGTATTAAACCAAGTGAACCGATTGATGATACTAATTGGGTGCCATTTATTAAAGCTAACCCTTCTTTGTAGCTCAATTCAATAGGTCGAAGACCATTATATTTAAGAACATCACAGGCTGGTGCCCAACCAGTTGAGGGTGACCACATTTGGCCTTCACCAAGAAGTCCTAGAGCTAAATGTGCGAGTGGGCAAAGATCTCCACTGCAACCAACAGTTCCCTGTTCTGGAACATAAGAGACACAATATGCTGGAATTAATGAGAGAGAAAATAGCCGAAAAATTTCGGAAAATGATTATCTACCATTAAAAGCATCAATCAATTTTTCTAAATTTTCAAGTGAAATTCCGCTATGGCCTTTAGCTAAAACATTGATTCTGAGTGCTAACAACATTCTTGCTTTTGCAGGTTCCAACGGCTTTCCATAACCAGTAGCATGTGAACGAATTAAATTTAACTGGAGTTGCCTTAAATAGTTTTTAAATTATTACAGAAATATGTGAAAGGGTCATGTTAGTTATGCACACAAAATTCCTGATTAAAATCTGCATTCAATTTATTCAATTTTTTATTTAAAAAGATTAACTAAATGAATCAGACTTAACAGGTTCTTTGGAGTTCAAGACTCAAATGGACTCTAATGTCACATAACTAAATGTCAACCGTATTGACATGAGTAAGTAACATACTCTGTGCTCTCTAACAATATCATTTTCTTCTTAAGACATTTACCAGCTATCAATTTAATTTTTAAAAACTTTTTGGTGTTTCTTTTTACTCCCTCTAAGGTAAACACATTATGAATTTATGGATAATAAATTCAGACTTAATGTGTGCATAATCAAAAAAATAATAAATGCCTTAAATCATCTGAAGGTATTTCGACGTTAGCAAAAGTCCCAAAACCAGTTGTTATTCCATATATTACTAAAATTTAAATAAGAAAATAAATAATTAATAAAATAAAATATTTAAACTTTTGTGTTCAGCTGCAACCTTCTCAAGGAATTTTCTTGCATCCAAAATCCGTTGTCTGGCATCATCCTTTAACTAAATATTGAAAATAATTTATTAACCCTAGACAATATATATTTATTTATGAAAATTAAAAACCTTTATTTGACAATTTATATCGGAAGTATTAACCAAATCTTCTACAGCTAAACTATAACCATCAAGAAGGAGTAAATGCTTATTATTATTGTTAATTTCTTCATTTTTTAAAGTTTTAACACAAATTTGGTCAATTTCAATATTTATCTGATCATCAATTGAACTAACAAAGTTTTCATTGTTATTTTGAAAATTTTGGTGATTATTTAAGTCAATTTTGTATTGGTTTTCAATTTTATCGTTGTCTGTTAACAATTCCATTTTTTTATCTTTTTTAAAATTTTAAAATAATTTTTAAATTATTGTTAATTTTTATTTAAAATAATGAATGAATAAATATTAAATTAGAATTAAACTTCATTTGAATTTTTTAGCTAAATATTAAATTAACAAAAATAATATCATTTATCATCTACTGTCAATTAAATACTTATGATTTTGGTTTGGAATTTTGTGATTGAAATTAAAGTGCGTGATTGTATGAGTGGACTTTGAAATAAATAAATAAATTTATTTAATTCACGTGTTAATTTATATCAGCTTTTTATATTTTATTTTAGACATCACGTGACTGTATTTGGATTAATGATAACAAAATAATATTTTTATTTAATTTTTATATGGAAATAAAAAAATATACCTATACTAATGTACAAGGTTATTTTTTGATAAAATTATTAAATTTATATTACGCCCTTTTAATCACGTTTTTATCTCGAGAAATTAAAAAAGCAAATGGTGCTATAACGTGAACATTTTAAAAAAGGAATTGAAAAATATTGTTTTTGCAAATATTATTTTAATAAAAATTTTAGGATTAAATAAATTTTTTAGGAAATAAAACACTTCAAAAAGCCCACTTAATTTTTTAAATTATGTTTTAATTGAATTATTAATTTTTTAGTTTCATCTCAACGTGCAAATTAAGACAAAAAGTTAAATAAAATTTTATTTAAAAAATAAAATAAAAACTAAATTTAAGAAAAAAACAATTTTATATACAAAATGAGATCATTAAAACAATTTTTAAAATTAAAATTCCAAAATTTAAGAGAATAAACAATTTTCTCTTTCATTCTTTTTCCAATTATTTTTTTCTCCTTTCACTTCCCCACATTCAATACTTCCATAATCAGTTAAAGACGGGGTTCGAGAATCTGCTAAATTTCTAAATACTTCATCTATTGGTTTGCTTTTAGTTTCTGGTAGCCATAAAAACAATAAAAAAATAATTAATAAACTAAAGGCCAGTAATGGCAATAAAAATAATGATCCAAAATTTTTTGTTGCTGAAGGATAGGCAAGAACTAAGCAAAGAATTATTAACATTGCCGGAAATTGTGTCAACTAAAAAATTAAAAATTTATTTTTTTGTTATAAATGAGAGGAGGTTAAATTTATAAAAAAAAAATTGCCTGTGTAGCTTTTGCTCTCGATTGATATGGAAATATTTCACTGATTAACATTGGATTTATGTTATAAATTCCGAGATTAACACTTGCTTGACCAAAAGAACAGCCAATTAAAGCAATCCCGGCAACTATCCAACCACTTCCAAAATTATCAAAAATAAATTGGGCAAAGGCAATAAATGCTAATTCAATTGAAGAAAGTAAAGCAATTGTTAAGAATAAAGGACGACGGCCTTTAGATTCAACAAGAATTGGGGCTAGAACACTAAATGGAGTGCCTAGAGCGGTGATTACCTTAAATAATAATATGTATTTATTTTTAATAGAGAAATTTATATTTTAATAAGGTATTGCTAAAGTTGAGAATTTTGAAGCAATTTTGAGGGAATAAGAGTATTTTTGTAAAATATTTTAGCTTAAAATTTTCTTTAAACGTTAATTAGTTTTGCTTTTATGATAATCCATTAAATATTTATCTTAATAGAGAAACTTTTTACAATTGTAGAGGCCATTGCTGCCGACTGATTCAATCCAAAATTTATTAACATAGATTCCAAATATTGACCTTTAAGGTTAGCAAAAGAAAAAGCGGGAACAAAAGCAACTAATAACGTTATTGCTGTAGCCCATCTATTTAATTATTTTTAATTAAAAACTTTCTTTTCCATTTATAACCTTAAACGTCTACTAATCCAAAAATCACTTAAAGAAACATTTTTTCTATGCACAACTAATTGTTCAGAATTAAATTCATTAAAAATTTGTGCTGAATAATTAATTATTTAAAAAATAATTATTTTTTATTTACAAATATCAGCATTTTTTCCATGATAAAAATGAATAGAAATTTTTGCTTCTAATTTATTTTCTCCCCCAATAAATAAATGTTTGGGCGATTCGGGAAAATAAATTCCAGCTAAAAATATATGGCACATTGCAAATAATAAACAAATTGCCGGTATTAACCACCAATCTCTTTCATTTCCCCAAATATCAGGCATACAAAGAGGTGAAAGTAACTAATGATTATTTAAATATTAACGATATTTTAAATCTCGTTTTTACCAATAAAATTAATCCTCCCCCAGACCCAATAATTGTAACTGCCCATCCCCTACATTCTGTTGGTGCACATTCAGCCATATAAATAAAAAGAACATTTTTTAATGTTTGGACCATTCCAGCAAGAAAATGGCCGATTAAAAAAAGTTCGGGTTTATCAAGCCATTTGGCAGATAACATAGCTAAAGATGAAAGAATTCCAATAAAAGAACTTAAAAAAATATTTTTAAATTATAATATTTTCAAGTAAACTACCGAAGGTAAACAGATGTGCCTTTCCTTCCCAATCTTTCCATACAAATTGCCATTATTGCTCCGGCAATAAAAACACCCCCAAAGAAACTTGAAGCAATTATTGAATAAATAAATTCAAATCTTTGAGGAAAAAATATTTTCTATTCAAAAATAATTATTAAATACATTTCACTATTAGGCCCAATTCCAAAACGTTGCTGCAATGAACGTCCAAAAAATGTTCTTAAAGGAACTGACATATAATTAATTACACTAGCTTGAATATCTCCAAAAGCAGAAAAAATGGCATGGAAAAAAACAACACTTAATAGACGAGGATTGTGATACATTTTTAAAAAATATATTTTTATATTATCTAAAGAAGAATATTATTTTTAAATTAAATTAAACAAAAAATAATTTTTCTTTAAAATATTTATAGGATAACAAAATATACCTAATAAAAATCCTGATAATTTAATTGTATTTATATATTTATTAGTCTTTAATTAGAGTACAAACACAGAAAAAAAACAACAAAAAATAAACAGAAAAAAGTAATTAAAATAAGAATATATTTGCAAAAGTCAGCTGTAATTGTTGCTTAAACAGCACTTTCATATCTTTTGTTTTATAAAGTAATTAGAAAATAATCAAAAAATTTTAATGTTTAAATAAAAACAATTTATAATTAAATAAATAGATAATGTAAAAATTATTAATAATTTAAAGATAGTTAATTCGGATTTAATTTTAAAAAAATAATAAAAAATATTCAATCTAAAAATTAAATTTAAATTAATTATATTTTCATTTTCTTTACAATTTTATTTTTTAATAAAATAAAATTACAACAAATTTTTAGATTAGGGAGTTTTTATCTAAAATTAAAACAAAAATTAATTTTGTTTGCAAACATATTCTGGATAATATAAAAATTAATTTTAAACAAAAATGACAATCCAAGGAAATTTAATATTTTAATAATTTCGTCTTGTCCTTTAAAAAAGATTTATGGCACTTTAAATATTATTTAGACAACCAATTTATATTTATTTATTTCCTCGCTAGGCTGCCACCTTTTCCCTTCTTTACAGGGTGCGGCAAAAGTTCCCGTACTTTTATTAAGCGTGAAATTTTTTTCAGATATTTTCTTAAATTTTATAAAATCTATAAAAAAGTGTTTATTAGATTCTAATTAAAAGATAAATTATAACAAATGTCCAAAATGTCCTCCCTCCGCCAAGATATACGCGTCCAAACGCTTACTGAATTTGCCCACTATGGTCGCGCACGCATCTACAATAATTGAATCCCAGGCCAGTTGCATCGCCGTCTTTCACAACAGACAAAATCATAGGCTATTGCTTCCAAGGTAAGGCCTTGCTTCCAAAATTGTTAAACAAAAGCCTCTATCCACAATCTGTAATGGTGTGGGCCGGGATTTGTGACACTTGATCCCTGGGCACAGAAACAACGGATCCCTGGGCACAGCAACAACGGTGTTGGCCGGGATTTGTGCCGTTGCATCCCTCGTCATAGCAACACTTATGTAAAACCAATTTTATGTTGCAGCAAAATTGGGCCCCTTCACATTGAGCAAAAACAATGATTGACCTCTGCGAAAAGTTGTTTCCAGGATTTTGGGGCAAAGCCATTTAGCCAAGTAACTCCCCAGATCTGAATGCTATGGACTAGTAATTTGGTAATTATTGGAGAAGAGACTTCCAAGGATACGATTTATATCAAAAAATGCAATTAAAAGGGATTGCAACTGGGATGGGATTCAATTATTGTGGATGAGTTGCGCGACCATAGTGGGCAAATTCAGTTAGCGTTTGGGCGCGTATATTTTGGCGGAGGGAGGAAATTTTGGACATTTATTATAATTTTTCATTTCTTTAGATAGTAATGAATACTTTTTCATAGATTTTATAAAATTAAAAAAAATATTTGAAATAAATTTTATGCTTAATAAAAGTACGGGAACTTTTGCCGCACCCTGTACAATTTCTTTTCTTCTTATCACCTTATCATCTTTTAATAATAACCACTAAACTTCCCTCATTTACAGCCCTGTCCTGGACATCTTTTAATTTTCCTTGACATTTACTTGTATTGCAAAGAACATCTTACTTTTATATGTAAAACTCTTTAAAAACACATAAATTCAAATATAAATCAAATTAATTAGTCAAGACAAAATAAAAAAGACAAAATTTGCAAAAAATTAGAAGTGGTCCAAAAATGAACTGAAACTACATATACATATTTGTAATAATAAAAAAGTAAACTGGAAATGTTTTTTTAATCCCTGTGATATTGAAAAATAAATTTCGTAAAGAAAACTTTTTTAATTATTTCTAAATCAAAAATATATAGGTAGATAGTACAGTCAGCACTTCGTGTAGTAAATACCACAGGCCAAAAACGACTGTATCTTTTAGGATACTACATTCAACATCTCAATAATATTTAACACCTTTTGATTCTTTTAACATAACACTTTTGCTTATATCTATCATTAACAATAAGGTTTATAAAATTTTTCTGAATTTAAAAGAAATTTAAATTTTTGAAAAATGAAATTTAATTTTTACAAGGTTTCTCATCGCGACTGCTTTTATCAGGCTCTCTACTGTAATATTACGCCAGGAAAAATAAAGGCCAAAATATTTTGAACTCAAAATTTACTTATTAACTATCTTACAAAAACAAAGAAAACAATGTGGAAAATATACATACATTTACATACATAAATTACAATAAAGAAATATGTACATACAAACATTTTACTGGGATATAATGGCTAACAATATCTTCCATCATTCACATATTCATCTAATTTTCTTTTTCTTTGTCGCTGGCATCTTTGTTAGAATCCTTGTTTGAGTTGTCCTTGTCCGTAGTCTCCGTTTCCTTCTGTTCTTCGGTTGACAAATCAGTGCCACTTTTGGTCGCTTCCGTACTTCTTTCAGTCGTTTGAGCTGTTTCTTTACTCTCCTGAGTCTTCTTCGTTTTCTCCTCCTCCTCTTTTGGAGTTGACACAGGTGTTGCTGGAGAATCCTTAGAAGTCTCTGGTTTCGAAGGCTCTGTCTTTGAAGTCGCAGACTTTGGGGTCTCCACTTTACTCGTTGCTTTTGATGACTCTTCTTTTGTAACCATCGTTTTTGCATCCGTTGGTGCCTTAGTAGGCTTCTCTTCCTTTGAAGCAGGTTCTGCAGGAGGAGCAGCTTCTTTCTGAGGCACCGGAGCTTTGGCAGTCTTTGGTGCAGATTTGACGAGAGACTTTGTCATACTCTGCATCGCGTATGCGGTTTTTGCATTGTTGTCATCATTTGGAGTATTAGTAGAGGCCGAAAGTGTACAAACTGAAAAATTAAAGAAATATGGGTAGGTATCTAGCCTAGCTAGAAAAAATTAAATTCAACTCACCAACTGTTGAGTTATCAGTCTTCAGTATTGGGAAGATAGGGAACCCATCAGCAGATGTTGCGACTCCAGCATCTTTTTTGCTCGAAAGGTTGTCTTCTAAAAATTGAATGAAAATTAACTGTTTAAAAGCTCAGCAATTGAAAACTCACTTTTCTTCGGTTTGCCTTTCTGAGACCCCTTCTTAGAATCATCTAAGGCTGTACGCGTACTTGACGATGGGCCCACTTGGGATTTACTATTAGCGTCCGTCTTTGCCTTTTTTCGGCAACAAGTAAATAAGCCCAGCAGCGTTCCGCAGATCAAGAATGGCCAAAGCAATTGAAACGCCAGAAGTGCTGTAGTCGTCGTAGCGGCTGACACTAAAATAAAAGAAGGAAAAATTTTAAACAAAAGGATTGATAAACTGAGAGAAACTTACTTTAATGAAGAAAGAAATATGTAGACGTGGACTAAGTTGAAGCAGGAGGACGTAGAGTTGTGTTGATAATTAAGCTCAAAATCAAGTTGCTTTTATAGGGATAGTGCGAAGAATTAATTTGGGGGCTATTGGTTTAGAGTGTCAGGGTGGCCCTTTCCAAATCACCAAAAGGAGGCATGGGCTCTAAAAACGGGTTAAAAAGGGGGCAATGTCGAGAAATGAGAAAAAGGGGCGAGAAGGTCAAAGAGGGGTAAATGCCTCCCAAATGAGGCAAAAGGGCCACCCTGATAGCAACGCAACAGATCAGCCTGGCAATAAATAAATAAGATAAACTGAATCGTCACAAGTTGCCGTACTCCCAAACTACTTTGTAACGGCATACTCTGAATAGTCCCTTCCCTGAAATGATACTCTGAAACGTCCCTTTTGTAAATTTCGGGTCCGCAAATTTTTTTGTCCGCAAATTTTAATCCGCAAAAGCTGTTAAAAAAAATTTTTTTTCGCTAATTTTAGTCTTTTCACAATGACATCATTTTTTGGAGCAGCTCCTTCTCAACCATTAGTACCATCCAATCAACAAGTCATTGTTCAACAACAACAATCTGTTCAGAGTTTACAAGATATATTAAATGTATATTTTTAATTTAAATTTATTTCTATGTAGCAAATATATTTAGAGTGCAACTGCTTTGACTGCTTCGGTTTCTGGTCCAGAACTTTTTGGCGATGATTGTGACAGAGTTGTTGCTCAATTAAATCAACTACTTGCTTCTCTTGGAGTTGGGCAAGGATATTATTCTGTTGGACAACAACCATTTGTTTACACCCCAAATAATATTTTTTATCGTCTAAAAGCTGTTGGGTATAATCGTTTAAGTAAACATAAAAATGCACATGGACTGGTTTCTTTGATTTTGGCAAGTTCTCCTTCAAATTTTAAAACGGATCAAGGCCAAATGAAGGTTTGGTATTTTTTGATATTTTTCTCTAAATTATATTTTTTGTAGATTGTTCACGATTTGGGTGCTATTTTGAGGGCATCTAAACAACCAGCTCCTATGCTTGGGTTAATTCAACAGCAGCAGCAACCTGCGAAACCTTCACTGCGTGTTGAACTTAAGTCAATTAATGCTCTTGATGAACAAAACACTGAGGTTTGTGATTAGTTTTTAAATTTAATATTATTTTCCTCGTGAAAATAAATTTTTTTTAAACTTTTAGGTGGTTATCCTTGCTAAAGAATCGGGTCGAATTATTCCTGCTCTTGATCTTTATAATGAATTGATGCAAAAGGCAAATGAACTTCAACAGCAATTGCTATGTAAGAAAATTGCACCCAGAGTTGAGATTGATCCTGCTAACCTAGAAAATTATTTGCGTCGTCCTCCACCCGGATATGAAGAAATTTGGTTGCAGGCCATTCGTGAAAATCCAGATCCTGCCAATTTAATTCCATATCCAATACAGGTTTCCTTTTTATTTCAGAAAAATTTAAATATATTTATTAGGGTTTTCGTGAATTATCTCAACGTAAAAAAATGCAGACTTCTCTAGTTCAGTCACTTCATGCAGAAGTAGGTCAGTTTTTGATTTGTAATTTTTTGTTATAATTTTAAATATTTTAAGATGATAATTTTAATCGATTAAATGGATTTCATCGAAATATTATTGAAGCAAAAAATAAATATATTCAAATTATTCAAAAACAAAAATCTCTTTCAAATCGTCTTCTTCAAGTACTTGTTATGCAAGCAAACAATCAACGACATGGACAAATTGTGGATGAAAAGGAAGAACAATTACAGTCACGTCTTGAGAGAATGAATTTTTTGTTAAATGGACCAGAAAAGTTAAAGGTAAAAAATGAAAATGTTTGTTGATTAATTTACTTTTTTATATTTTTATGAGTTTAAATGAACTATTAGGTTGATGTGAGTTGAATTATCTTTACTAAAATCAGGCCCGTAGCTGTGGGGAAATGATTCCACCCCCTCTGCCTCCCTGAAATTTTTCCTGGCTACAGGCCTGACAAAAATCATTATATAATTTTTTAAATTATTAAAAATTGGTATACGGATAGAGAAAATGAAATTTTTTGATAATAATTCAAGAGGAATCAGACTAAATTCATTGTTATTCAAAAAACATAAATAGGAAATCTCAAATTACACACAAAATTAATTATTAGAAATTGATTGAATTCTTCAATTTTCTAAATAAAAGTTTCTTTTTAAGGAGCAAGTAACAACAATTTTTGAAACAATACGAAGAGATAGTTCAAAATTGGAACAATCAGCAAAAGAAAATGTTCAAACTGGCCTAAATATTTCCCAAAAAGAAATGGCCGAGGTACGCCGTTGTCTTTTTACACGTCAGCAATTAGTGGAAAATTTGGTTTCGATTGTTAAACAAAGTGTGGATGTTCTTAAAGTTGTAGAGGAAGCAAAGAGTGGAAGTTTAAAATCTATTTAATTTATTTAAATTATGACAATTATTTGTTTGGATTATTTTTTCTATTTATTTATAAATTAAAATCTTTTAAATTCTGATTACTTTTTTTATAAATCAATTGTTAATTCAATATATTTAATATTTTAAATCCGATTGAAAGTTGAAAGGGAGAAAAATTGGTCCAGTTGAATAAATAAAAATTAAATTTCCATGACTCAATTGACAGGAAAAGAGTTACCACCCGCGTGTCTTTTTTCCATTCAATATTGAAACATTTCAGTGAAGGAAAAACGTGAATAAAAAACGTTTTTTATGAAGGAAATATTTCTAAAATAAAGGTTTTTATTAAAAGGTGATTATGTTTAGACTTAGGCCAGATGTTTGTAGAGCAATTTTGGCTACTTCTATTATTTGGATACTTGTTGATATAATTATTCTTTTTTATTATCTTGATAGAAGCCTTATTGGTTCGCAATCAGAAAGGTTATTAAAAATTTATTTGAATAATTTTTTTAAATTTTTTTTTGAAAATTTAAGGACGATGATGCCTCAAAAAGAACAAATTTCTGATGATGTTAAATCCAATGAAGAGAAAAAAATATTAAGAAGACCGAAAAATAGAGAAATTGCCCTTCCAGAACAACCAAAAGAAGAGGACAAAGAATTGGAATTGTTACTTTCCCAATTAAATTTTGACCCGAATGGGCCAGGAGAAGGTGGAAAAGGGGTTGAAATTGCTAAAGAAAAGGAAGAAGAGAAAAAAGAAAAGTTCAAACAAAATCAATTTAACCTTATGGCATCTGATCAAATTAGCGTTAACAAAACAATACCTGATTATAGAACTGAAAAGTTTGTTTTTTTTTATTTTAATTTAATTTTTTTTTAAAAATTAGATGTAAAAGTCAACCTGTCCCTGAAAATTTACCAACAGTTTCAATTATTATTGTTTTTCATAACGAAGCTTGGAGTACTTTATTACGAACTCTTCACTCTGTTGTTAATCGAACGCCGCTCAAACTTTTAAAAGAAATTATTTTAATTGATGATAAAAGTGAAAGAAATTATTTAAAGAAGCCTTTGAAAAGATATATTAGAAGATTCACGATTCCTGTGCATTTGGTTAGTTTAAGAAAAAATTTTAAATATTTAAAGGATTTACTAAAACTTTCAATTTTTGGGTTTTATTTAAAAATTCTTTTTAAAGATGCACTTACCTGAACGTTCTGGCCTAATTAGAGCACGTTTAGCCGGTTCTGCTATGGCAAAGGGAGATATTTTGCTCTTTTTGGATGCCCATGTTGAAGTGAGTATTGGCTGGCTAGAACCTTTAATTATTAGAGTAGCGGAGGATCGTACTCGGGTTGTTGCACCAATAATTGATGTAATTTCTGATGATACTTTTGAATATGTTACAGCTTCTGATACAACTTGGGGAGGATTTAATTGGCATTTAAACTTTAGGTTTTTTGAAAAATATTTTTTAATTAAAATTTCTTTTAAAATTTTGGGTGGTATCCTGTACCTGAGAGGGAAATGAAGCGCCGAAATTGGGACAGATCTTTGCCGATTCAGTGAGGAAATTGTTTAAATTTATTCAAAAATATTTTTAAAGAACGCCGACAATTGCTGGTGGTCTCTTTGCCATTGATAAAAAATATTTTTATGAGATTGGCTCTTATGACAAAGGAATGCATGTTTGGGGTGGAGAGAATTTGGAAATTTCATTTCGAGTATTTTTCCCAATTAATTTTTAGTTTCTTATGGTAACTTCAGGTTTGGATGTGTGGAGGATCTTTGGAAATTCATCCATGTTCTCGAGTTGGGCACGGTGAATATAAAAACTGTCTACCAAATTATAGAACTATTTATTAAATGCTTATCCAAATTTCTTATTTTTTTCTTTTAAAAATTATTTTATTCTTTCCAGTTTTTCGCAAACAAACTCCTTACACTTTCCCTGGCGGAACTGCAACAATTATACATCACAATGCTAGGAGAACAGCTGAAGTATGGATGGACGATTATAAGCAATTCTTTTATGCAACAGTTACAGGTTTAATTAAAATATATTTCTTTTTAATTTTTATTTTCTAGCGGCTCGCCATGTTGACGTTGGCGACGTTACTGAACGTCAAAGATTGCGTGAACGACTGAAATGTAAATCTTTTAAATGGTATCTAGAAAATATTTACCCAGAATCGCCTTTGCCTGCAAATTATTTGTCTATTGGAGAGGTTATTTTTTAATTTAAAGATTTTTATAAGATATTTTTCATTAAACAGATAAAAAATCCTAGCACTAAATTATGTATTGATACAATGGGAAAAAGTGGAGGACAACCACCTGGGGTGACTGCATGTCATGGACAGGGAGGGAATCAAGTAAATAATTAAAAAAAATATTTTTTTAAATTAATTTTTAAAAGGCTTGGAGTTTGACTGGAGATGGTGAAATTCGAACTGATGAAACTTGTTTAGCTGGAAAAGATGATAATTCACTTAATATGGAAAAATGTTCTACAAACCATCCAAATGCAAAACAACAATTTAGCTACATTCCAATAGTAAATTTTTAAAAAATATAATTTTATTCTAATTGATTCCAAGGGCGTATCCAGGAGGGCTCAATGTTAGTCCACCGAAACCGACCCACTGGATACGCCTTTAATTCTTGCCAGCCGATTAATAACAATAAAGATTTACTAACTGATTATTGGAAGAGTATACCCTTAGCTGAAGCTCCCCAATTAAGTAATTTTTGGTACCAAAAATTAAAATTAGGAGTAGTTCTTTTATCTCTTTTAACTTCTCAGATAAGTGATCAAAATATTTGATGTACTATTTTTAAATTACCAAAATATTTTTCTTTCAATTTTTAGACTAAACAAATTGTTCATATCAAAAGCCAGCTTTGCTTACTTCTAAAAACACCAGCGATGCAATTAACCCTAGCAGATTGTAATTCAATAAGTGAAGAGAATAAATGGGAGCTTGGCCATTTTAAACATATTAGTTAAAATGATGAAAAAAGGGCTTTTCTTGCTTTGAAAAAACATTCCACCACCAAAATCAAATTAATTTTTTCTACTACTTTTTTTGCATAATATATATTTTATTTTTTTGTATTTAAAGACAAAACATGCAAATATTTTCTTTTCTTTGCTCTTATATTTTTTAAATGTTATCATTTAAATCACTTCAATTAAACAGCTTAATATTTTCCTTTAATATTGTAAAACATCTTTTTAAAAATCCTTCTGTGATCACTTAAAATCGATCAAAACAGCTCCTATTTTGATTATTATTATTTACTGCTGATTTTTATATATTATTTGTTTTAATAAATAACCTCTATTGAATAAATAATAAATGGAATTATTTTTAATTAAATTTACACTCTTATCTTTCTATTGCTAATTACTAAGCTTTTCAATAAAATTTCGATCCTGAACGATGAAATGAATTGTAGGGACTTGCATATTTTATAGTTTTTCTCGATTCTATTCTCAATATTTGGTTAAATTAAAATAAAACTCCAACGAAAAAAATATTTTAATTGTATTTCTAGAAAATTCTAAGTACAATTTCAAGTTTGCCCAATTGGTTGAGATTGATGTTTATCAATTACTTCCGCTTTAATTTTAGCAGCAATTCTCCTCCTTTCTTCTAATTCACTTGACTCGTTTTGTGCCATTAATCCCCGAGCCGCTTTTGCTGTTTTAGGTCTAGAATTGTCATTGGTTGCCTTTAAAGCAATTTTAAGAAGATCTAAAATTATTCAGTAATTTACCAAAAGTTGTTTTTGCCTTTCCATACTTTTTTTCTGTAATAATTTGTCTCTCTGTTCCCGAAGATAACGCATTCTTGATTTTATATTTTCATCGGGAATATCATCACGTTTTTTAAGTAAAGACTGAAAATACGAGAGTACCGTAAATGCTGAAATAATGTCCCTTTCTCAAATAATTACCCCCGTCCTATTAATTACTCCCTACAGCCAAAGATCCAAAAAATAATTACCCCCCTTAAAAATAGTTATAATTAGTCTTTCTGAAAAAAAAGTTCAAATAATTACCCTCTCCCTTTTAATCACCTCCTCCAGCGAGCGGTTGAAACAATAATTACCCTGGGTAATTATTTTAGCAAATACGGTATATTTAGTTATTCTTAAAATTTTTATCAATTAAAATTTCCCTCACCCTATAAGCCAAATCACTCTTTTTATTTGAGTCCCCATTTTTTGACTTGTCTTTTCCACGTGGTGGCTGATGTACTTGACCTAAGGAACGGCGTTTTTTATTTTCACTTTCGAAAGAATTTTTGACGTTATTTTCGTTGTTTTTGCTAGGTTTATCATTTTCACTTTTATCAGTTTCGTCATTCCCTTTTATCTCTTGTTTATTCGAGACAGAACGTACTACTCGCGTTTTTTCTACTTTCGACGGCAACTAAAAAATATTTTTTGATATTTTTAAAAACTACTAACACTCATTTGAGAAGATCTTCCACTCTTAGAATCAGGGCTTCTCATAGCAGAATCTGCTGACTGGGAAGTTCCTGGTTTCTCTTTATTAGGGGAAATTCCTCTTTGATGCTCCAGCTCTTTAATCTCTTCATTTATTATAATCTCATTATCACTACAATTCTTTATATTGTCCTCATTTATTGTAGGAATACTAGTATTTTGAAACATAACGCTCGGAGGCAAATTCAATTTAAAATCTTTCGTAGTTTCTTCAGTTTTAGTATAAATTGAGAGATTGGAGAACTTTAAAATAAATAATAAACTACTTAAGATATTTTTATTTTTCTAAATATTTGCCTTTTCATTAAGAGCTTTTTCAAGTAGTAATTGTTCCTTTCTTTTCATCTCTTCGAGATTTGTCTTCTCTGCTAAACTTTCGCGTAAAGCCCTTTCCATTTGCCCTTCAGAATCGGCTCTCATTCGTTGATCATATTCCCATTCTTCTTTACTTTGCCTTAAAACAGCAAGTAAAATAAGCTTTTCACTTTCATCTTGTT